TATCTACTGAATATGATTTGTCGGCAATAAGAATAAGAAGTGACAGTAATGTGCTATCATACATTACTCTAAAGGTTATAGATCGCGACCCTTCTAGATATCTATTACACATTGATGTTACCCTGATCGAGCAACAGTATATTACAATTCCAGCTGCTGCACATACAAACTGTGACTTGTGACCCTTAGATTGCAATACGTGACATGTACTTAGACGTGTGACTTGTGAAACTTGTTTGTGTCACCAGTTTAATGTTCATTGTAGTATGCAAAAAATCTCCACTTAATTGAAAACCCGTGTTACCAGTTCACTACTATATGTGACCACCACAAAGGAATCTGTAAACATATAGTAAGACCCTGTGACGTTTGACCCCTGTGACCTTTGACCTGATGTAACATTATGTGAATAATAGTATTACTGTGACCTACGTACTCCAAAAATATTACCGCGTGTGACCTTGTATAAATCTTCTATAACAGTCTGTGACATGTATTGCCAAACAATTCCATATGGTGTTATCTGTGACCTGATGTAACATTATACGAATAATAGTATTCCTGTGACCCTACATATTCAAAAATATTGTCAGTGTGACCCTGTAGAAATCCATATAGTGTTCTCTGTGACTTCATGTAGCATTATGTAACTGCTAGTATTCCTGTGACCTACGTACTCCAAACATATTATCACATGTGACCTTGTAGAAATATTCTAACTGTGACCATCATAAACCTGTGTGACCAAAGCAATTTTCACTGTGACCATCAGATTACAATGTGTGATATATGGAATGACATGTGACCATCAGGTTGTAATTTACACAGCTGCAAATAACATGTAAATTAAACACATTCCTGCTCATAATGAAAATGGTCCTAATTATTATCGAAAATTCAATGTACATTTGTCCCATTCAGAAAAACTACCGCAAATCGAAACAGACAATCAGAAACTTTACAGAGTTTGTTCATCGTTTTAAACTTAAAAAAAAAAAATACGGCCATCACTTAATGAGAATCTCATCCTTTTTTTTTTT